TACCTTAATATTTATATGCAAATCATCAAAATTTATTACTTTCCACTAAATTGATATACATATTAATATTTTTTAACTATAAATTGAAGACTTCGACTAATATATCTAATAAATGATGTCGTTTACCAAAATTATTTTATAATTAAGAAATTGTAAAATGTCATTTCTATAGGAGAACAGAAACCTCAGAGCAATATACGGTTTCAATACTGAAAAAAAAGTTTACATTGTTACATAAAAAGAAAAACAGATTCAGAATATAGGTGATCAGAATATAATAAGGTGATCAGAATATAATAACGTGATCAGAATATAATAAGGTGATCAACCACTTTTTATAATCTTTTATTTTACTTGATATGAACTGGTATTGTGGTTAATGTGGCCTCATATAGAGGCCACATTAACCACAATACCAGTTCAATAACACAATACCAAGTTCAGCTAAGTTCAAGACAGCTAAGGAGTATCACAACCTAAGGAGTATCACAACCTGCTCAATGGACCTAGAGTAAGGTGAGTTTGGGAAGAATGAAGATATTTAAGACTGAAAGATAGTGTTAAAGTAGTGTTAAAAAGGTAGAAAAAGCAAGAGAAAGTGGACAAGAATTGAACACTAAGTTAGAAGGTGCAACACTCACAGTTAATTAGGTCAACTAAATAATAATAACAAAAACAATTACAGTTAATATATAACAGTTAAAAGAATAACAAAATAACAAAAAACAAACGTTAAAAGAATAAAAAAGTTACAGTTAACAATAACAAATAACACTTACAGTTAATTAGATCACCTAATTAATGTACGCCAACAAATCATTTTGTATGAACTCTTTATTAAGTAACTTTTTAAGTCATCCTTAATGCACAAAAAACTAACCTTTTATATTAAGATAAGCTACTAAATTGCTGGCGGGTTTGTTTTTAAAAGTAATTTTTTTTTTATTAACGTCTTTTAATTTTTAAATAAAGCTAATATTGCTTGTGGGTTTGTAATTTTTTTTTTATATATAATTTATTCTTTTTTATAAAAACATTCTTTCATTTTTAAAATCAGCAAAAATTGTCTGTGGGTTTGTATTTTTTTTAAATTCTTTTTTTTAACAAAATTGAAAAAATAACTTTCAACATAATTTTGTTTAATATTAATATAAAAATATACTACATATGTTGGCGGACGAGGGTGGCAATGCAAATGAAATATTTGTACTTTATGTTATTTTACATTGATATAAAAAACTTTATTCCTTTAAAAAAAAAATATTCTGCTCCTTTTATGAGGAAATACTCTATTTCTTTAATAAAGATAAAAAACTTGATTTAATTACAAATGTCTTGACAAACGCATTGCTAAATACCCTAACTCTCTGTAAAGACTAAAAGACTAAAAAACATTTGCTCAAAAATAACCTAATTTAAATCTAATAGTTCAGTTAACTAAAGATTGACAGGTATGTTTCTATATAAATCTTGTGCAGACCTGTCAATCTTTAGTTTACTGAACTATTAAATTTATATTAAAAAGTTTATTTTCTGCGTTTTAGTACAAAAAAAAATATTTTTTTTAGCAAATGTTTAAGTTATATTTTATTTATTTATATATTTATATTTATATAAATATATTTATATATATTATTTATATATATATAAATATATATATATATATATATATATATATATATATAAATATACATATATATATATATATATATATATATATATATATATATATATATATATATATATATATATATATATATATATATATATATATATATATATATATATATATATATGTATATTTATATATATATATATATATATATATATATATATATATATATATATATATATATATATATATATATATATATATATATATATTATATATATATATATTTATATATATAAATATATATATATATAAATATATATATATATAAATATATATATATATATATATATATATATATATATATATATATATATATATATATATATATATATTATATTTAAGAGTGTATTATAAAAATCTTAATTTTATTTGGTTCTTGCGCTCTTTAAAAAGCATTCTTATGTTTAGCTTCCTATAAAGTTTATAGGAGAGTCGTATGATTGATAAAAAACACTTTTAAAAAACAAATAATATTGATTCAAAAGAAAAAAATTTACAATGACATCATTTACTAAAACTCGCGAGTTTTATTAAATGACATATGCCAGGACAAATATTTTAAAGACTTTGAGGGACTGGCTAACACGGAGACAACAAGCTTCAAGTAAAACAACACTTGGTATACATTTATTATCATATTTTATTCAAAAAATTTACTTAAAGCATTATTTATAATTATTCTCTTTAATATAAACACAACTTGTCTCGGCAATTTTGGAATTCCTTTAAAAATTCAAAATCAAATTAAAAAAAAAATGCATCAAAAAAAGGTTCATTAAAACTTTTCAAATATTTTTCTTTTTGTGCCTTTTCATTAAAAATATACAATAATGTTGTATCTATGTTATGTCTATCTGTTAAATAACTTCAGTTAATTATTGTTTAATATAAAGGCTAGTAAACGACCGGGGCTTGTATTTGACCTGGGTCAAAGCCAGATTTATGGCTGAGTCTTTTTAAATACTAATACATATTATTATGATATATAAATAAAATACAATTTGCATCAATATTTATGTCTGTAGAACTGGCCTTGGCCACATTTAAATACCCGTCTGTAGAACTGTATAATACCCTAAATACCCGTCTGTAGAACACATTTAAAGTCCCGTCTGTAGAACTGGCCTTGGCCACATTTAAATACCAGCCCCGGTTGTTTACTAATAAAGGCAAGAATTGAAGTTTATAAAAAAAAACTGTTGTGAGCTCAATAAGGAATAAAATAGAGACATAAAAAAATCTAAATAAAAAATATTTAAGTCAAGATGCAACTCTTTTTGGTTAAACATCATTATTAATCAAAGCATGTAATCAATATAACATATAATTTATTGTTGTTCTAGAGTTTATCATGTGTGTTAAGGGAGTATATGATTTCTGTAGGATTTTTAAACTTTTTCAACTTTTTTCAACTTTAATTTATATTTTTGAATTTTGAATTTTTTTATTGAACTGATTTAATAGTGATAACCATCAATGGTAGTATTATCTATGTTTTTTTTTTTTTTGTTTATTTATTTATTTACACTGCCATTTAAAGTCATTTATTATTGCTTATGTTAGATATTGCTTATGTACCATATTTTTATTTTTTATTTACAAACTTTTGAACTATAATTAGTGTTCAACAGACCATATTTTCTGATAAACACTTATTCCCAAGAGATTAATTAAAACCGATTGAATTAATTAAAAACAGATTGCTACAAAAACATTACAAATTTAAAATAAAAATGTGACTTATTTCACTAATGATTGTTATTGGTTATAACAATAAAATATTTTGCTAAAAAACATTAAAAAACATATTATAGTAAAAAGGAACTACAAACAAAATTGTTTCCTAAATCAACAACCTAACAGTAATTATCCTAAAAAAATTCAATTTTTTCCTATATAAAATTTTGAAATGACCAAAGCAACTGAAAAACTTCGTATAGAATTGTCTACTAAGTACGATGCAATTATACGCACACTCATGGATAGACTCAATATTGCTGAAAAACGGATTACTAAACTAAATCTAGAACTTTACACTCTTAAAACAACTCCAACACCTTGGTAGACACTTGTATTTCAAGCATCGCATACTCTCACATTTACTTACTTTTATAATCCTTCATCTCTAACAATTTCCAACTTTTGTTAAAAGCTTACTAAGTTTATTTGTGGCCTGTATTAGATTCTTGCACCCCAGAAAAAGTTAAACTGTATTAGATTCTTGCATAGAAAAAGTTAAAAAATATTTTACCAGAATTGTCTGCAAAAGGTGTCATATTACACACATTGATTACTTATCAAGACTTATTGTTTTCCAAATAGAATCTCTTGAGTATAACAGAGTTAAATTTGATCTTTATATGACTTATAAAAATGTACATTATCTCATTGATCTACCATTTTCAGATTTTTTTACTTTTTTAAATTCAAAATATTTTACTAGAAGTCATTTATAAAAGTTTACACCACGTAATAAATACATTAATGATACTAGATGATTTTTTTACAGCAAAAGAATCATTAAAGAATGAAACTCACTTCCTGACAACATAGTGAACTCGCCCTCACTGTCACATAGTGAACTCGACCTCACTGTCACATAGTGAACTCGCCCTCACTGTCAGCATTCAAATCGAATTTTAAAAAGTATGATTTAAATTGTCACGCAATCTACTAACTTGGTTTTTTCACATTCACTCATATTGAATTTTCGTTGTTTTTTTTTTTTGTTTTGTTTTTGGTGCTACATAAGAATAATTAGTAATTACCTTTCTCACCATTTTGTATTTTGTACATATTTCAAATACAAATAAATAAATAATAATAATAATAAAAACAATTGTCATGAACTTGATAGTTTATGAAAATTGTTTTTATTATTACTATTATTATTATTATTATTATTATTATTATTATTATTATTATTATTATTATTATTATTATTATTATTATTATTATTATCATTATTACTATTATTATTATTTATTTATTTGTATAAAAACTAATCTCTTTCGAAAAGTTATTGAAATTTAAAAGTTATTGAAAATGATTATATTAAAGCTTTTATTTAATCATTTTATGTTTATTTAACTTTATTATTTCATTTTATTTCATTTTACCTTGTTAAAAAAGTCAATGTTATATGTAAAAGTGGCTTTAAATTAAATATAAATTAATTGTAATACTTAATGTGCAACATGTTTTTAAATCATACAACACAATTATTAGCTTGTGTTTCGACTAGTCATGACACACATAAATACTCAATAAATATTATATAAAAATTCTAAATAAAAAATAAAAATCAAAGTTCTAAATTAAGTACCATTTTGTAATCACAACTGACTAAGATTTCAGCATAAAGTGTTTCTTTTCTAGTATAAGGTAGGTATACAGGTTCAATATTAATTAAAGATGATGCCTAAAAATAAAAGACATAGACACACACATTTAAAAAACAGATTTTAAAATAGTTTGAATGAAGCATTAAAATAATTATTTTTAATTTTTTTTTATATTTATGGTTTGTAAAGACTTATTTAATCAAAACAAAATGAGAACTATTCTCAAAAAATGGTTTTGTGCTATCAAAAATTGTTTCAATAAACACTAAAATCCATAAATATTTAGCGAAGCATCTAAGTACAAAATGTTTTTTAAAAATTCTTGAAACTCATTTTAAAAAATTATTCTTTTGATGTACTTTTAAATGCAGTGCTCTATTGAATTCTCAATTATAATCAGCTTTAGAAGTGGAAAATATGAAAAAGAGAGGGTCTGAAGAGGAAAACAAGATTTATATTCTGTAATCAATAGTAAAAACTATATGGTTTTTACTATTGATTTTTATTATTGATTACAGAAAATTTGATTATTAATTACAGAAAATTTGAGTAAAAACCATACAATTTTACTCAAATTTTAAAAAATTAAAATTTGTAAAACAATAAATAATTTTAAATCAATGTTCAAATTTATTTTAACTTAAAATACAGCTATCCCAGTAAACTTATGAATTTCTCTATTCTATTTAATTATTCTATAAAATTATTCTAAAAATTGTTATTAACAATAAACATAAAAAAAAAATTTTTTTAATCTGTTTTTTCCTGCCTTTATTTTTATTTTTTCCTGCCTATGTTATTTTTTATAATTATTTGCAAAAAGAAAGGCTTCCTGCCATTTCTCCTCAGAATATTCACTGTTTAGTAGATTTAGAGTAAACCTAACTGTCATTTCAGAGAAGACAACATCAAGTCCCTTGATTGTTGCTCTTAATTCTAAATAAAAATTGTTGAATTTCCTAAACTCTTGGGAAGTCTTCTTCCATTGAGTTTCTGCCTTTCTATGTCTAAGTATGTCAAAAAGTATCCACAACTTGTCTGTTGTAAATGGAATCAAACTAGGAGGCTCATCTTCACTGAAGTTTAGACTATTCAATATAGCTTGCCCTGTTATCTGGCACTTCAAAGGAAAACTGTCACTTGGACATTTTCATAAACTGTACAGTTAATTAGTCATATCACCACGATCCTTACAATATTTATCTGCTATAGAAAAAACTACGAAGGTAACGAAAATCACTTTAATCAATAATGAGCTTTCTAACTTATTATTAAAATAATAAAAGACTGAATACCTGTGTTGGTGCCTAGCAACCTAACTCTATCTCTAGAAATCACTCTGTATAGAAAAGACAAATGATTAAAGCCATAAGAGTTATTTCTTTGTTAATTCATTCATTTTAAATTCATTATTTTAATTTCACTGTTTAAATAGTATATACTATTTCTAATAAGTCTTAAATGGCAAACTGGTCCTGCTTAGTGAAATATAAAACAATATAAATGAAAATAAAATTTATAATTTTAATTTTATAAACTTGTCTCTCATGTAAACTTAGATAATCTTAACCATTCTTATATAACTCTGCTGATAGATTTATATTTAATTTCTTATTATTAAACTTCGATTGCTTCTTCATACAACACTCATTTCTTTTACCTCTACCTCCATGTCTTCTTTTACCTCTATGTTTTCTATTTCTTTCAACAAGTTGGTCTTTTAAGAAAGCAATATCTTCTTCATTGTCTTTCATTTTCCTCGTATTATCTTGTAATATTTCTTCAAACAATGAGGATATAATAAATTTACCTCAGCAAATTTTGTTCTGTATCTTTGATCTTTAATTTCATCTGCTCCATCAACAATTTCTTAATTTTTATCCTGTAAAAATAATACTTAATAGAGTAAAAGTTTATGGATTAAAATGATTTAGAACTCATTGAAAAAACTCCTTAAGCTTTTGTGGTTTAAGCACTTTAAAATGCCTCAAGTGAAACGGCTTACGGCATACCTTAAAACAATTAACATGTACGTAAATGGCATACAACTTTATGCTTTAAAATAAGGCCTGATTTCTTGTGTTGCTCATCATTCAATTAAGTCTCATCCTTTTTCTGTTACTGTTCCTAAGTGTTCCAAAAACTCTTATTCGTCTAGCTTTTTTCCTCGAACATCAGTTCTTTGGAATTCGTTTCCTTCATCTTGCTTTCCTGATTCATATAATTTGAAATATTTTAAGTCGTCTGTCAATCCTTATCTTGCTCTACAATCTTCATCTTTTCTCTTCCAGTAACTTCCAACACTAATTAGTGGTTGCTTGCAACCTTGTTGGAAGCGAAGATAATTAAAAATATATATATATATATATATATATATATATATATATATATATATATATATATATATATATATATATATATATATATATATCTTTGTTATATATATATATATATATCTTTGTTATATATATATATAATATATATATATATATCTTTGTTATATATATATATATATATATATATATATATATATATATATATATATATATATATATAACAAAGATAATACATAGCACAAGGTATTTTTTAGAAACTACCCAATAAAATACTTGAACAGTAATACAGTTTAAAATACAGTAATACAATAAAATACAGTTAAGAATAACTTACATCTGATAACAAAACAGTTTTTTCGGTCTTCGTATGTAACTTCTCTTTCTTAACTTTATTATTCTCTATAAAATTAATAGAATACATATCATATCATATCAAACTAAAATTGCAAGCTTGCTAAGGGCTTATTGCATATTTACTTCATGCCAGAAATGGCTTTTTTAAATCAACTACCCATCCTGTCAGATTTAGCAACATTTCTCAAGATCTGGAATAGAGAAAACTTTTTCTACGGATGACTAAAGTTAAACCATAATCAGCCATAGGTAATGACAACTAATAGCAAATACGTTTTGTTTATTAAATTCACTTAATAATCTTAATTAACAGGTTCATTAGGAAGGAATTTATAAAGAATTACAACACTGTTTTAAAGGTTAAAAACTAAAAAAGATCAAAACACTTGAAACAGTTTCTGGTTCACACAACCGGTTAAACAGACATGTATATCTGAACAGATAGATGGCAAAATTAGTGACCTGCTAGTATTAGATGTCCTTAAAACCATCAGGTATGGTTTGCAAAGATTTTTAAAAATTGAGCATAGTAAAATTGCAACAAAATACAATACTACTTAAAAATACTTAAGATAATTCAAATGAAGAATTAAAAAGAAAATAATTACTTTCATGCCATAAATGTCTTAGCATTATTATGGATTATGACAGTTATTAACAAAAATGAAGTGTATATGTAGGATATTTAATTATCAGAAAGCAAAACCAACCAAATGCAGCTATCAAAATAAGTACAAAGTAGATTTTCTCATTTTTTGCTGCAATAGCCAATGACTGTTATACACAATAGTGTTGATAAAACATTCATGGCATAAAAGAAATTCTTTTTTTTTTCCTATTCTTCGTTATCACCTCCAGTTACACAACAATCAGCGCCTTTTGGTATCATTAGAAAAAGTTTAATACTAAGTAAAAAAAAAAAAGCAATAAAAAACTAAAAGTAAAAGCATTTAAAAAGTTGAAAAATATAAATAAAAATCAAGAAATCAAGAGAAGTAAACATCGACTGCCTGGCTGCACTGAATAATTTCTAATATCTTTCTAATAATTAAAAAAAAAATTTGTTTTTTAAAAACAAGTCAAGATATTATAACCAAAAGTTTCTTTAATGACTGATAAACTCAATCTATCCAAAAGAGAAAAAACTGTGATTAATTAAACAGAAAAAAAAATTCAAAAACAAACTTTAGATAAAGGTAATATTTCGTTTACCCAAACACATACACACACAGTCAAACTAATTCACGACTTCTCAAAGTTTATTACTAATAATAAATATAATAATGATTAAATAAATGTCAAGTCAGATTATCTTGCTACTGTTAACATGTAACCAGTACAACCTACTTCATGCCCTGCTGCCTTGTAGGATATGCTTATTTAGGCCAAGGCTAGGATAAGCCATTTCCAAATTAAAACACCCCCAGCCTTGAAGCTCATGGTTGAGTAAAGGCTAGAGATGGTGCCTCGATAAAAATACTTGAGCAGGTGTTAAACACATTGGGCTACGGTCTAAGGTGAAGACTTAAGTAACAAATTCTATCTGTTGACCAGCCTTGTACCCCTTCTTCATCTCTTAAGCTGGCGTAGATGTATTTATAATACACTGTTCCAGTTTAGGATGTTAAATGCGGGATCTTCTTGACTCAGTTACATGAATTGTGCTTGTGTCTTTATTTTTAAGACTACGCAACTCATTATACTATGTCTTAATGCAGGTACAGCTCTAAAACTTAGTTTTATAGTTTTGAGGCCGGCTGGTAGTCTGGTTACCTGAACTCTGTGGTAGCTCTCAGAGAGGCTGATTCTATCAACAGCTGTTAAATATTAGAGTACTAACAGTGCCATGTTGCACATAGATAGTGTCCCTGTTTGTACTTTTGGTGTGCATTGCCGAGGCACACTTGGAGTCTTTTGTTAAGACTGAGAGTTTACTAGTAGTAATTTACTTGTTGTAAGAAAGTTTAAGGTCAGGTCAGGTTTTCCTGCTACTGGTAACATGTAACCCAGTACAACCTGCTCCATGTCCTGCTGCCTTGTAGGATACGCTTTTTTAGGCAAAGGCTAGGAGAAGTTAACTCCGAATTAAAACACCCCCTGCCTTGGGGCTCTTGGTTGAGTAAAGGCTAGAGATAGTGTCTCGATAAAAATACTCATCTTGGGCAGATGTTACATGCATCCAGCTGCTGTCTTGTAGAAGGCCTCCTAGGCAAAGACTTAAGGGGTAAACAGATTCTATCTGTTGACCAGCCTCGCACCCCTTCCTCATCTATTAGGCTGGCGCAGATGTATTTTTAATACATTGTTTCCAGTTTAGGATGTTGAACGCTGGATCTTCTTGACTCAATGCCTGGGTATTGCTTGTGTCTCTATTTTTATGACTGGGCAACTCATTCTATTATCTCCTAATGAGGGTACAGCTCTAAAACTCAGTTTTATGGTTCTGAGGCCGGCTGGTAGTCAGGTTTCCCGAACTCTGTGGTAGCTCTCAGAGAGGCTAATTCCATCAACAGCCGAAAAATATCAGAGTACTAACAGTGCCATGTTGCGCATGGATGGTGTCCCTGTTTGTACTTTTGGTGTGCATTGCAGAGGCCACATTTGGAGCCCTTTGTTACGGCTTAGGGTTTATTAATAGTAATGAGGCTATTGCTTAGTTGTTAAATGGTGTATTGAGTACTATCTATACTTGAGTCAAGTTCTTTATAAATTTAAAATGACTAAAGTACCTAAAACTAAAAAACACAAAAAACCATCGTCATCACCAAGTTCTCTAAACCTATCATTTACTAATATTCGTGGTCTTCGAAGTAACTTTTCTTCTGTTGAGTCTTATCTCTTGCAAAGTTCACCAGACCTACTTGCTCTTTGTGAGACTAATTTGAGTTCGGCTGTCCCATCTTGTGATCTTAGTGTTGATGGTTATCTTCCTTTAATTCGTAAAGACTCCAATAATCACATGCTTGGCCTGGGCATCTACATTCGTAAGAACTCACCCATTTGTCGTGAAACTAGGTTTGAATCTAGAGACTATTCATTTATGTGCTTTCGTTTAGCACAACTTCACTCTATTGCCTTTCTCTTTGTTCTATATCGCTCTCCTTCATCCCAAGATTGCACTATTCTTGATGTTATTTCTGATCAAATTGACCAAGCCCTCTCTCTTTATCCATTGGCCAATATCGTCGTTGTTGGTGACTTTAATGCCCATCACACCGATTGGCTTGGCTCTAGTGTCAGTGACTCTGCTGGCGTTAAGGCCCTCAACTTTTGCCTTTCTCAATCTCTAACTCAAATAGTCAACTTTCCAACTCGTTTTCCAGACAACCCTAATCATTTACCTTCTCTACTCGACTTATGTCTTGTTTTGGATCCTAGTCAGTGCTCAATTTCTCCACATTCACCCTTAGGTACTTCTGATCACGGTTTGATCTCTCTAAAACTATTATCAAATTCTTCTACTTCATCAGAATCCCCCTATCATCGTACCACATACAACTACCTTAAAGCTGACTGGGACTCTTTCCGTGATTTTCTTCGTGATGGCCCTTGGGTAGAAATCTTTTGTCTTCCTGCTAACAAATGTGCTTCTTACATAACTTCGTGGATTCAGGCTGGCATGGAATCTTTTATTCCCTCTCGACGATTCCAGGTCAAGCCTCACTCTTCTCCTTGGTTTTCCTCACATTGCGCTGCAGCAGTTTCTAATCGAAACCGTTACTTCCATATCTATCAGCAAAACAATTCTCCAGAAAACAGACATCTGTTCACTATCGCCAGAAACCATTGTAAAAAGGTTTTGTCTGACGCCAAAGCTCGCTATTCCCAGGTCATTAAATCTCGTATCTCATCACAAAAATTAGGCTCTCGAGACTTCTGGAGAATCTTTAACAGTATCAATAATAAGGGCAAATCTGTTATTCCTTCTCTCTCGTATGGTTCAGACTTTGTCACCTCACCTAAAGACAAAGCTGAATTGTTTGCTAAGAACTTTTCATCAATATCATCTCTTGATTCCACTAGTTGCGTTTTACCTGACATAGCCGTCAAACAGGTTGATCCCTTGCTTGACATTCGCATCACTTCAGCTTCTGTATCTAAAGTAATTTCCTGCTTAGACTCTTCAACAGCTTGTGGTCCTGACAACATTCCTGTTGTAGTCTTGCAGAGGTGTTCTCCGGAGCTTTCATCCATACTTTCTAAACTATTTAACAAGTGCTTATCAGAGTCTTGTTTTCCATCATGCTGGAAAGCAGCATCTGTTATCCCTATTTTCAAAAATTCCGGAGAGCGATCTGATTCATCTAACTACCGTCCCATTAGTCTTCTTCCTGTCATAAGCAAGGTTTTTGAATCTTTAATCAACAAACACTTAATCTCTCATCTTAAATCAAATAACTTACTTTCTGATCATCAATATGGATTTCGGTCTTCTCGTTCTACAGCTGATGTGCTAACAGTAATAACCGAAAGGTTTTACCGTGCATTAGATAGAGGTGGAGAGGTTAAGGCTATCGCACTTGACATTTCTAAAGCTTTTGATAAAGTTTGGCATGCTGGTCTTCTCCATAAGCTTTCTTCTTATGGTGTAGCTGGTAACGTCTTTAAGATTATTGAGTCCTTTCTTTCCAATCGTAGTATAAAAGTTGTCCTCGATGGACAACACTCTTCTTCACATCCTGTAACTTCAGGGGTTCCTCAAGGTTCAATCCTTGGCCCTATACTCTTTTTAATTTACATTAACGATTTTCCAGATATTCTCACATCTAAGGTGGCATTATTCGCTGACGACACTACCATTTACTCTTGTCATGATAAGAAGCCTACACTCTCTGATTGCTTGGAGGGGGTATCTGAGCTTGAAAAGGATCTCACTTCTGCTACAGCATGGGGCTCACAGTGGCTGGTTAATTCAGATAAAACTCAATTTTATTCGGCCAATCGTTATCGTAATAATTTAGATCTTCCTATATTTATGAATGGTAATGTACTAGATGAGTCATCTACCATTCATCTTCTAGGATTAACTCTTACTTCTGATCTTT